ATGATTATATGATTATCGGCAGTCTTCGGGTGTAATCTCGATGGTTAATTATATGGCGTCTAGTCTAACATACAAACGAAATGCTGATGCATTATAAACAGTCCATGCATTGTTAATTGTTTCTTTTGGAACTTTTGTAATTTAGACTTACAGCTAATGCCCCTTCAATGAAACAATAATTTAGATCCAGCAGCCAAAATTTGTAAACATACATCACACAACACAACTGACAAAATTCAAACAATCATACAAATAAATCTGACAAAATTGCCAACAAATAAGTTTTGTAGTTGATATTAGATCTGACGAAAACGCCAAGAAAAAGAGATTTTGCAGTTGAAAGAACACACAGTTAATAAAAACATAATGCCGTACTAGTACACATTCCTGATATAAAGTACAAATCAAGTTAGATATAAAAACAAGGGTCAACAAAATGAAAATACCGAGCCATGTACGTCAAATTTCATACAATCAATGGAAATAAAATAGCTCAAAGACATTTATAGGAACAAATTAAAATTAAATAAAAAGATACAGAACGTCAGCACGTAGAATCTATAACTCAAGACCATCTCGTATTATCTGTGAAGTAGACACTGAATATTCATCTAAGGCCTTGTGACACTTATGACGATTTACAAAATCTGAGTAATAGCTGCAAACTCTTAAATATCGTATGATTTGAGAAATGTATACTCCATACGCGGACGAAGTTGGTATATTGCTGCTGAAATGAAGAAAATTTATAACTTCTAAATTAAAATCGTCTCGTTTGTCATCGATTCTGGTACTGAGATGATCGATGTAGTCAAATTCGAGGTATAAGTCTAGAAATGAGGATGAGGAATCTGTTTCTGTGGTTTCTTTAATCTCCACTTAAGGAAGATGTATAAATGGGAACAAATCAGAAAAGTTGGATTTTTAATGAAAAAAACCTCATTAGTATACCTCTATGTGAAATTAAAAGATCTACCTTTTCTTTTTCCTTGTTTTTTAAAAGTGTCCGAAAGAACTCCTACTCATGAACAAAAGAAACAGTCGACCAGAAGAGGTGCACAGTTGGTTCCCACAGAAATGCCGACAACCTGCTGGAAAATTTTACCTCCAAATTAGATAAACATATGAGCAACTCAAGCATACTGATCACTTGTTCATCGGTGTAGCATTTTTTTTTAGGCAAATGCATAGGCATAGAGATATAGCTGAAATTACCATTTATACTCTACTGGAGGGGGTATAAGTGATACTATGAAATTAGATAGTATATACAAGGTTAACATTTGAAAAAAATCAACTGCCTTCAGTATAACGTATATATGTAGCTCAAAGATTAATTTCCTTTTTTCAGGTTTAAAAGATAATTTGTGAAATTTCAATACGGTCGTAGTGCAAATATAGTATTCAAATATTTCCAAACTTTACAGTTTGCACAAAAAGCAAGGAATATGTTTTTATGTATTTCCGTTTGATTGATGAAAGTCATATTGCGTTAAAATCTTTCATCATCGTTGATTTTGATAATGTTGAAAGTTGCTTTTTTGTTATTCTCTTCTTTTATTTTAGGAATTTTGGGTCCTCAATGCTCTTCAACTTCGTACTTTGATTGGCCTTTTTAACTTTTTTATTCGAGCGACACCGATGAGTCTCTTGCAGAAGAAACGCGCGTCTGGCTTACAAAATTTTAATCCTGGTATCTATGATGAGTTACTTATTGTCTACTATCAAAATGTCACTATATCTTTGTAACACTCTGAACCGTTTCCAACCCCATCCCCCAAACGTAACAGATTTGCCGTGTCCTTGAAATTATATGTTACTCAAACTTGTCCAATTTTACTTCCTTTAAAAGTGTCCAATTGTTGTATTTGCTCAAACATGTCCGACTTTCACCTCTTCTAAACGTCAACTTTAAGACGCTAGAATTTTCAAAACTTTTAGCGCTCATATATTCTATGTGACTCAGTAACGCCCGTGGCAAACTCAATATGTCGGAATTCTGCTGGAGTTTAAAGTAAAAAAGATTTAAACTGCTATCCAAGGTTATGATAGCGGATGAGTATTAGGTACAATTCCCGCAGATTGAGATAGATACGGAGTTAAAAGAAGAAAACACAAAATGGAGACTTCGTAAAATTGCAGAGATGATCAGAGGTCCAAAATGTGAATTGAAGCTATTTTAAATGTGCAACATTAATTTTAAAAAAAAGATTAATAATCAATATTTAGGGTGAGAGCCGAGATGTGGAAAACTGAGGGGAAAATAAATTCATGACACCTTTAATTTGACATTCTGTGCTCTATATCTTCTAATCGCGCAACCCTGGTCCTTTAAAGAGCTAATGTCCTTTGAAAAATTACAATCAAGGAAAAACATTCCATATTATGATCGAGAATCTTCCATTTGCGTAATTTAGAACAGGTATAAGGTTCTGTAATAATTTCGACGAGTTTTTTTTCAAACAATATACAATTTAAGTAATCACTTTTACATGAATGTAGACACGTTTGTTCGTTTTTAAAATATGAACATGATAAGGCGTTACAGAAAAAGACATGTTTTGACATCCTACACCACGTAGACACGGTTGGGCTTGACGTCATATTGACATGTTTGGGGATTGGGCACGTTTCAGGGAAAGGACAAGACGACATATACCAAAGGGTCGTTCAGACTGACAAGTCGAAAATAAACTTACAACGCAATGGCAAAAACGAAAAACCACCAATAGACAAACTACAGTCTACAAAACACTCCATACAACATAGAAAACCAAAAACTGAGTAACACTAACTCCACCAAGGTTCATTCAAGGAGACAGGAACGGGTGTGTCGTACCGATTTAACAGAAGAATACGTAACTTCTTCCAAACATTTTTCAATTAATTATTATGACCTTTCTTTATTGATTCAAAAAGCAGTGATAATGTAAAATGCCTCTTCAAAGAAATAATTTGACACTTAGGACGAAGTGCTAATTTCTCTGCATTTCTCATTGGCTCTTCTTTTTAAGTTGTCCAAGATCTAATGTATAAAAGAATTGTCATTAATGATATTTTATATTGGTTTTTATTAATTATATTCCATTTCTTACACTGGATGCAACCGTTTAAAAATATGGTTAAGTTTACAAAGGATCCACGATATTCAACTATGCTCTTTAATGCAGTTTCTGGAAGGAGAGTTAAATTAACAAGAATATTAGTGGAGGGAGGAGCAGATGTGAATATTAGTGTATTTGGAATGACACCAATAATGGCAGCATGTTTGCTGCCTTCTAAAGATGATGAAAATAAAAAGTTTCAGCTTGTGAAATTATTATTGGATAACGGAGCAGATCTTAAAGCAAGAGACGATTTGGGAAGAACTGCACTTCATTATGCATACATGGGTGAATGTCCAATTATAATTAACCTCATTAGATCAAAGAAACGTGAGAACAGAAGCCATAGAAAAAGATTTGCATGCATACGCAAAAATGAAGACTAATTAGAAAATTAGAAAATAAACATCTGAAAGACCATTGTAAGTTAGCAAACTTTTTGATTAACGGTTTTGTTTTAAAAACAATATGCAATTTAAATCAATGCTTAGGCAATAAAAGCTATTAAGTAGATCATAAGCATAAAATTAAGTCTTGCATGATCCTTAGACTTACCAAAATAGTGCTTGTCTGTGCCTTAGACTTATATAAAGTGTTTTTCTGTGCCTTAGTCTTATCTAAATAGTGTTTTCTTGTGCCTTAGACTATCATCTAAATAGTACTTGCTGTTCCTTAGACTTACCTTTATAGTGCTTTATTGTGTCCAAGACTTATGTGAAATATACTTTCCTATGTCATAGACTTATCTAAACAATGCTTTCCTGTTGATGTCAGTGATATTAGTTGAAATCCCCATTTTTCAAATTTCCGTTTCAATTTAAGCAAAAATCTATAATTTTTGTGTATGTCTTTTTTTTTTTTTTTTTTTAAAAGGTTCTTTCTTAAATTGAAGAAAGGCATAATTGTTTATGAATCGTCATTACTACCAATCGGTCGATACCTCTGCTGGTGGACTGTTAGTCCCCGAGGATATCATCAGCCAAGAAGCCAGTTCTTCAGTACTGGCATGAAAATACAGATATTTTTTGATTGAAATTTGCTGTTATAAAATTGAGAAAATCATTTAGAATTAAAGATTATATCTCCATTATTGAAAGCCCTGATTCCTTGTCTTAAATTTGGCTATACTTCATTTCCTTTTTGGTTTGATCAGCTCTTCAAAATTTGTATAAGTTTTTGTTTTTCAAATATTTAGTGGCCTCGATAATCACTGAAGAGACAATTATTTTTTTAATATTTATTTTCGATATGCACATCTAGTAAAATTGGTACCGTTGTTGCTATTATCCCAACGATTTTTATTGTTTCAATTAAATGCTTGTTAAATTTCCTTCTACAAATCCAAGCTCTATGTAGTAATGTATGCTTCTTTACATTTACCATAAATTTGTAATCTTCAAATACTTTGTATAATTCATTCTCTAATGAAACTATTTAATGAAGTGAAAACCTTTAGCTTGGTTCATTACATTGTTTTAACTAGAAAATATTGAAACATTTTTCTAATTGTTTGATTAGAAAAATATTAAAAAGTTTTTCATTGTTTTATCAGAAAAAAAACATTAGAAAGTATAAATTAAATGTACAATTGTAACTTTATGATATTTACAACCAAAGATATCCTTGTATGATATCTTTTTTTAAATTAATAGGTTTTTTTCTTAATTATGCATAAAGGTTTGAATTTGTGTCCTAAAAATCTATGATAAAATCCAACGTGATGAAAATTTATGATTACTTAGTATTATTTTTTTTTGCTAAGAATTTGTTACCATATTCGTTTCTGTTACCTCTCATCTCGATGAAAATATTGTGTAGGTAATATAATTTTTTCAAATTGTCATTCAAATCATTTCCAAATTATTTTCTTGTCAAAAACCAAACACAAACTAAAACTGTGCAATAATTTCAAATTTATTTCAGTTTTAATAAATTCAGCCATATATATATACTGATTAAAAAAAGTAGTAACAAATATTGTTTACATCATATTTCAAAACTAAATTATACTTCTAAACATAACAATAACTTAATTATTGTAACAAAGAAAATAAACCATGAGATGAAATTCTTAATCAACAAAAAAAATATTAAAGTTTAATTTCACAACTTTGTAAACTTTAATTTTAAAGTTTTTTAATTAAAATATGTGTTGTCTGTTCAATACTTTTCACAGAATTTCTGACCTAGGACATGACATCCCATCCATTTGGATTACTTTTTATGAGTTTTTTTTATTTGGCTCTTCCTTTTGTTTTATTTTCCAAAACTGCATCTTGTATGAGTATCCCATAGTATTATTACAGAAATTATTTCTTTATATATATAAATTATTAGATACAATTGGGATGTATGTGTCATTCAAACTTGTTACTATGAATATATTGTACATTTAGTAAAATCTATATAACAGCTTTTTTGGGTTCTATGAATCTAAAAAAAATAATTATTTCAAATAAGATTTCTGAATTCGTTGTTTATTCATCAGGGTATGTGACTGCAGCATATAAACTACACGCAAACAATTTCTAAGCTAAAATTTCGTCAATATCAAAAAATCATGGAGGGGAATAATATATCTCTTCAGCTAACATTTTTGAGCTAAAAATCAAGTTTCATTAAAGGTTCAGATTCATAATAAATTAACGATAGTGTCTCCAAATTCATATGATTTGGTATACTTTTATGATTAAATCTACTACAGAGCAACCTGAAAGATCTAATTTAATTAGACTGAATTATCATAATACTATCAACTCCTTTTATGTCCATTGGAAACCTATTTTTAAATCATATCTTTCCTCTACAATTCACGCAAGGTGTTCAGTGGCAGTATATTTAAGATTAATTCAGTCATCTCTAAATTAAGACAAAAGTGACTTTATAATTTAAATATCACATTATGGAAAATATTTTACTCACAAAGAAACAGATGTACTTCCCAAAATAAATCTGATTTATATAGAGCTTATTTGAAAAAAAAGTTGGGCTTAGGGCTGTGCATTGAAAGATATTATCCACTTTTTATATTTTGTTATTTCTCTATAACATACGAGTATTTAGGTTGTAAACACTAACATAATCTTTTTTCATAAATATACATATTTTATAAGCCATACAAAACAATGCTATGATTATAATTTTTGCATTGTGAAATATACTTGTATCCAAGTCTGTTTCTTTCCTGAATAACACATATAGTTAATGCATAATTCATTTACTGTTAAGTTTTTCTTATTGTGTTTACATATTTTTGCTGTCATCTTGGATTTTTGTATGTAATAATTATTTGGACAGAACTCTGTTTTAAAATTGTTATAACTTGTATACAATCCTATTTAGGCAATAAAATATTTCAAAATTTGACTTTCTGTAAGTGCCTGTATCGAGTTAGGAGCCTGTTGTTCGGTGGTTGTTGTTGGTTAATGTCTGTCATTTTTGTTTTTCGTAAATTTTTTGTTCTAAATTAGGCCTTTAGTTTTCTCAATTGAATCGTTTCATATTTTTCATGTCTGGTCCTTTTTGAGCCGACTATAAGCTATGGATTTTTCTCATTGTTAAAGGCCGTATGGTCACCTATAGGTGCTCACATCCACTTCATTTGAACTTTGGTGGATAGTTGTCTCATTGGCAATCATACCACACCTCCTTATTTATATATTAATACAATGCTCCGCTGAGCGCAGCTTGATACGACCGCAGAGGTCGAACCCTGAACAGTTGGGGCAAGTATGGACACAACATTCAAGCTTGATACAGCACTGAATTTGGATTGTGATTAAATATTTGACACATCACAGGTTTCTGACACAGAATGAATGTGGTCTAAGAACTTAAAAACTTTTAATTTACCTATTCAAACCAGATCTATATTATTTGCTTTTATATATTAATCCGAAATAACCAAATTAAAATGGACAATTTTAAAGAAACCCCCCCCCCCCCACCCCAAATTTTTTGAACCCCCTTATGATTCATCACCCTCAAACTCAATCCCAGCCTTCCTTTGTGGTATGGTATCTGCAGTACAATTTCAGATATTGTCTGGAAACTAGAAAAATGCTTTTTTTTTGGCGCCTTTTTGGCCCCAAATTACTACACGTTTAGGGCAATTACCCCCAAACTCAAACCCAGCTTTCCCTTTGTGATATGGAACCTTATAGTACAATTTCAGAAAGATCCATACACTTACACACAAGTTATTGTCCTGAAACTAGAAAAATGCTTGTTTTTTGTCCCTTTTTTTGCCCCCTAATTCCTAAAATTTGAAGCAATTACCCCCAAGATCAATCCCAGCCTTCCCTTTGTGGTATGGTACCTTGCAGTACAATTTCAGAGAGATCCATACACTTGAACACAAGTTATTGTCTGGAAACTAGAAAAATGCTTATTTTTTGCCCCTTTTTTGCCCCAAATTCCTAAACGTTTGGGGCAATTACCCCCAAACTCAAACCCAGCTTTCCCTTTGTAATATGAAACCTTGTAGTACAATTTCATAAAGATCCATACACTTACACACAAGTTATTGTCATGAAACTAGAAAAATGCTTTTTTTTTTGCCCCTTTTTTGGCCGCTAATCCCTAAAATTTTGAAGCAATTACCCCTTAAATCAATCCCAGCCTTCCCTTTGTGGTATGGTACCTTGCAGTACAATTTCAGAGAGATCCATACACTTGAACACAAGTTATTGTCTGGAAACTAGAAAAATGCTTATTTTTGGCCCCTTTTATGCCCCAATTTCCTAAACGTTTGAGGCAATTACCCACAAACTCAAACCCAGCTTTCCCTTTGTAATATGAAACCTTGTAGTACAATTTCATAAAGATCCATACACTTACACACAAGTTATTGTCATGAAACTAGAAAAACGCTTATTTTTTGCCCCTTTTTTGGCCCCTAATTCCTAATATTTTGAGGCAATTACCCCCAAAATCAATCCCAGCATTCCCTGTGTGATATGGAACCTTGTGGTACAATGTCAGAGAGATCCATTCACTAACACACAAGTTGTGTCTGGAAGTTACAAAAATGCTTATATTTGGCCCCTAATTCCTTAACTGTTGGTACCATAACCCCCAAAATCAATCCCAACCTTCCTTTTGTGGTATTGAACCTTATGGTAAAATTTCATAGAGATCCATTCACTTAAACTAAAGTTAGAGTGCGAAAACCAATGTGTCTTCGGACGACGACGACGACGACGCCAACGTCATACCAATATACGACCGCAAAAATTTTTTGCGGTCGTATAAAAAATATGATTGTCCTACTCATAAATACATAAACACCTTGATAGCATGTATATGAAGAGTGTTGTAAGAGTTGTCTGTGTCAAAAGATAAGAATTAATTTAATGTGACATCTTAGACTTGACGTTATTACTATCCACATCACAGTGGTGTTGGATAAGAGTACACAATATGGCTATCATTTTTCATCAAACTTGCAGTTAATTTTTACAAAAATTAACAGGAATATGACGTTGTTTACCATTTGTTCCATTGGTTTATAGATTGATTGATTGATTGAGTTGTGTTAAACACCACTTTCAACACTATTGTGCTATTCCATGGCGGTCAGTTTTTATTGGTCTAGGAAAAAGGAGTACTCGGAGAGAATCACCTACCTTCGTAGGGAAATGTTGGTTTATAGAGTCTCACGTTTGATGTTGTATGGATTTCCCCCTTTTTGAATTTACTTTGGTGTCCGGTATTTTTGTTAATACTTTTTTATAAAACAGATGCATAGTTTCATGTTAACTCATCTTGCATATATGTCTATTGTAAAGTTGCACATATAAAAGCAAGCAATAAAATCCGAGGAAGAAGAAATAACTGATGCAAAAGATTTTCATTTTTGCCTCACAATGAAAAAAAAGAGGGACCGTTTGAATTAATATATAAATGATTTTTACTACACCAGAATATTTTCTTCATTCTTTATAAAATCATCTATAATACATGTAATAAGCACTGTTGCCGCAATAGTTAACATGTTAATAGACTCTTAACGTTTCTTCACAAGATTTACTACTTCTGCGAGGTTATAAAATCAATAGCACTTTCCAATGAATTATGTTGAAGAAAATCTTGTAAAGTAGCAATATCATATTGTGGGAACAAACTATGTAAAGTGTCCAGGTCATTTGAAACAGGTATGTTGGTATCACTACATGCATGGACACCACTTGCATAATTTGGTGTATCAACTTCAAAGACAGGTTGAACTGGTGCAATAGGTGTAGATGAAACGGTATCTGAACCTCTTGGTTTGAATTCTGTATTGCCTGAACCTGAAAGAAGTAAACATGTATTTCTAGAACTACAATCATTTGCTAGTATATTTGAACAGAGGTGTATATTTCTGCAAAGGCTTCTGTAGTTATACAATGTTGACGAAATCAAATGTCATATATGTCATACCTTTTCTCATAAATATATATCATAATAGAATAAAAAAAAAAAAAAAAAAATAAGAAGAGACATTTTATAATCTGTATCACGGGTATAAAAGTACAACTCTTCTAAAATAAAGGGAAGGAGAAGATAAGAATTGGATGATCATAATCCCGAAGATGAAGAGACAATAATGTGACGAAGAGAACAAAAATACCCACAAAAATTACTATAAAACAACCAAAACCCTTTATAATCGGCGATGAACTTAGGTTCCACGGAAGTCCTGTCGCACACAGCCAGGTTAAAGTCATATTCGGTACTGTCTCAATCAATAAAAGAGGATGGAATTGTGGGGACTTAAAGTGGTACATTTCTTTTCAGTCTCTTCAGAGAGGTTACAAGTATCCGAAAAAAACGACACGATGACAAGCGGACGGTGGATCGATTTGAAAACCCGAGGACCTACCTTAGACAGAAGTGTCGCTTAGATAAAGCATTCCAATATTTTGGGTGAATTGTTTGTCTGTTTGTTATTGACCTTGGTTATATTATGGGGACCAAACTTATTGCTGGTATATCCGGAAAGAGAAAATAACGACCTCCAGCAGGAAAACAGGCAATCCTTATCAATAAGATGGGAGTCGGATCACATCCTATCATATTATAGTGATCCCTGTAGAAAAAAACTACAAAGACCACTCGACCACCGAGACACCAGATGAATGTCATTCCAAATCTCATATCAAACAATCATAACTAAAGCCTGTAATACCTTGTAGTTGTAGATAACAATCACTCCTTCTTATGTGTAAAGCTGGCAAAGTTCTTTCATGCTTTCTAAATTAAAACCAATTTAAATTAGTGTAATGAAGCGAAGTTATATATACTCGGTTTGGAATTCTAACATACATTTTGTATTTAATAAATGTAGTCTGAGTGACTTAACTTCTGCCATTGTACAATAAACTGAGTCAAAGTTACGTGATTGAATGGCAAATGTCCAAAAGAAGTCTATGAAGGACAAATCCAGAGTCATTATTACATACTTTCAAAAACGGATGTCAGAGTGGTTAACTGTTTATTGAAAATTTGTAAAGCACAGTTTCTTTCAAAACTACACCAGAAATATTTATGTATTATATGTCTCTGATTCGTAACATTGTAATATTATAAAACTGGCTATCAATTTAATTTTAATAGGAAATAAAAATATCAGAATTCCATTCCGATACAATGTGACCTTAATTTTAAAGCACATAATATGACTGTAAAATGTGCACCTGCACACCATCTAAGAACATAATCCATATAACCACAATGACTCCAAGGAAACTCCAATGATACGCATGCAATACCTGTGGCAAACTTAAATGTCATTTAATCAAAGGTGAACAAACTAAATTTTAAAACTCGTACCTCCATATGACCAAGACCATCAATATGTACAGGATAAAGAATAAGACTAACACCATTAATGGACCAGACAGACATGAACTCCTTCAAATCATTCTATAAACAATGTATACATATTTGACATATAACTTACAGTAGCGAAGAAACTGATTGAATCACGATGATTTAATGTTGATGAATGACCCCTGAAAATTAGATAAAGGATAGATGCCCCCAGTCATAAAGACATATGTACCTTACATTTTTTTCTGCAGAATAAATAAAGCGGATCTATTATAGAACTGTGAAAACAGCATAATAAATCAAAGAGCTTATAGCTTTGATTGGGAAGAAGATACATAAAAGAACAAGCTTTTTGAGAGTATTGCATGGCAATACATAGTCCCCTACCGGGTAAATATTCATTATACTGGAACACAAAGCTAACTTGTTCTATAACTTGTCATGGTGTAAACAAAAAGAAAATATCAAGTCAATATCTTCAAGCATGACTAATAAAATGCTCCGCTGGGGCGCAGCTTGATACGACCGCAGAGGTCGAACCCTGAACAGTTGGGGCAAGTATGGACACAACATTCAAGCTTGATACAGCACTGAAATTGGATTGTAATTAAATATTTGACACAGCATAGGTTTCTCACACAGAATGAAAGTAGTCTAAGAACTTAAAATTTTTTAATTTACCTATTCAAACCATATCATTATTATTTGCTTTTATATATAAATCAGAAATAACCAATTTAAAATGGAAAATTTTAAAGAAAAAAAATGAAAAAAAAAATCCCCCCCCCAAAATTTTTTGAAACCCACTTATGATTCATCACCCCCAAACTCAATCCCAGCCTTCCCTTTGTGGTATGGTACCTTGCAGTACAATTTCAGAGAGATCCATACACTTGAACACAAATTATTGTCTGGAAACTAGAAAAATGCTTGGGTTTTTTGCACCTTTTTGGCCCCAAATTCCTAAAAGTTTAGGGCAATTACCCCCAAACTCAAACCAAGCTTTCCCTTTGTGATATGGAACCTTGCAGTACAATGTCATAAAGATCCATACACTTACACACAAGTTATTGTCATGAAACTAGAAAAATGCTTGTTTTTTTGCCCCTTTATGGCCCCTAATTCCTAACATTTTGAGACAATTACCCCCAAAAACAATCCCAGCCTTCCCTTTGTGGTATGGTACCTTGCAGTACAATTTCAGAGAAATCCATACACTTGAACACAAGTTATTGTCTGGAAACTAGAAAAATGCTTATTTTTGGCCCCTTATTCCTAAACGTTTTGGGCAAGTACCCCCAAACTCAATTCCAGCTTTCCCTTTGTGATATGGAACCTTGTAGTACAATTTCATAAATATCCATACACTTACACACAAGTTATTGTCATGAAACTAGAAAAATGCTTGTTTTTTGCCCCCTAATTCCTAAAATTTGGAGGCAATTACCCCCAAAATCAATCCCAGCATTCAAACCCTCAATCAGCATCATTTAACAGTAATATCTAAAAATGGAAATTACATAATAAAGGTATTAAAATAGAAAATGACATCATAGTCATGGCTAAAAATAAACAAAATCCTTAATCAGCAACATTTTACAGTAATATCTAAAAATAAAATTCCTTTGTAACCATAAAAGCCCATTTAAATACATCATGACAGATATTAAAATAGAAAATGACATCATAGTCATGGCTAAACATAGCAAAAACCTTAATCAGCATCATTTAACAGTAATATCTAAAAATAAAAATTTCTTTGCAACCATAAAAGTAAAATAGAAAATGACATCATAATCATAGCTAAAAATAAACAAAATTTTTTTTTATTACCAAATTTTAAATGGAGTTTATTAAACTAAAACAATAAATTTGCAACCATAAAACCCCATTTAAACACATCATAAAAGTATTAACTAATTCAACTACATCATAAGGCTATAAAAATAGAAAATGACTTCATAGTCAAGGCTAAAGGTAAACAAAAAACCTTCATCAGCAAAATTTTATATTGGCAAATTTCCAATGAAGTTTATTATACTAAAATTGTTGGCAAATTTCCAATGCATTTATTAACAATAAAGTTATTGGCAAATTTCCAATTTACATAATTTAAAAGCAGTGTAAGTGAGATATTTAAATGAGTTTGAATTACCAACCTTACACTGCTTTTAAATAATGTTTTGTACTTATTTGTCTATTAACCTGGAAACCCTTGTTTTTTCACCTTTTTTTCCCTTATTATTTAAAGGTTTGAGCCATAACCCTACCCCAAAGCCAATTCTTAAATTCCAATGTAACCTAAATTTACAATATACATAACTTCAATTTAAGTTTTTGATAAAATCAAACCACATCATTATTATTTGCTTTTATATCTAAATCAGAAATAATTAACCAACTTTAAGTGGAAAATTTTCACACATCACGCCCCCCCAAACTCAATCCCAGCCTTCAGTTTGTGGTATGGTACCTTGCAGTACAATTTCACAGAGATCCAATTACTTAAACACAATTAATTGTTGGAAACTAAAAAAAAATGCTTATTTTTAACCCCTTTTTTAGCCCCTTATTCCTAAACATTTGAGCAATTATCCCCCAAACTCAATTCCAACTTTCTCTTTGTGATCAGAATTAACCAACTTAAAATGGAAAATTTTAAAGAAAAAAAAAAGGAAAAAAAATCCCCCCCCCCAAATTTTTTGACCCACTTCCCTTTGTGGTATGGTACCTTTAAGTACAATTTCAGAGAAATCCATACACTTGAACACAATTTAATATCTGGAAACTAAAAAAATGCTTATTTTTGCCCCCTTTTTAATAAATGTTTTGGGCAAACATTTTACAATAATATTTAAAACTGAAATTAATTTGTAACCTTAAAATTAAATAGAAAATGACATCATAGTCATAGCTAAAAATAAACAAACTATTGGTAAATTTCCAATATAAAATTGGCAAATTTCCAATGAAGTTTATTATACTAAAATAATTGGCAAATTTCCAATTTATATAATTCAAACATAGTGCAGGTGAGATATTTAAATGAGTTTGAATTACCAACCTTACACTGCTTTTAAATAATGTTCTTTACTCAATTATTTGTCTATTAAAATGGAAACCCTAGTTTTTTAACCTTTTTTCCCCTTATTCCTTAAACGAAAAAAAATAATTACCCCTTTTTTTACCCCCCCCCCCCCCCTATGATTCATCACCCCCCCTTCCCCCCCAAACCAAGCTCAATAACAGCCTTGCCTTTGTGGTATGGTACCTTGTAATACAATTTTAGAGAGATCCATACACTTGAACACAAGTTATTGTCTAGAAACTAAAAAATGCTTATTTTTCACCCCTTTTTAGGCCCCTTATTACTAAACGTTTTGGGCAATTACCACAAAACTCAATTCCAGCTTTCCCTTTGCGAAATGGAACCTTGTAGTAAAATTTCAGAAAGATCCATACACTTACACACAAGTTA